TTAGGGTGGGAAAGCAGGTTCATACATTCTGCAAAGTAGTAGTGTGGGCATGCCCTCCTGCACAAAGTTTTAGCAGCCTGTGGACTGCCCCGTGCCTCGTTGGCAGTGCCTTCTTGTGAGTTTTAGTGTGAGCACAACTTCATGCACGGCCTTCCCCGACATTGTCTTTTGTTTTTCGTTTTGTTTATCAAACAGGCCCACAAAACCCAACTGCAGAGCCTCGTTCGGCCCCCGAAAAGCTCGGAAAAAATGGAAAAACTGCCAGTTTTCCCATTTTTCCCAAGAGCGAGCAAGGTAGTAGTGGTTTAAAGGCAACAGCCTTGAGATATCATCATTGAACTGACCGGCTCCAGGTAATTCAGAACGAATTATGCTGGTCATCTGATTGTGTGTGGATTCAAACTCGGGTCTCTATTTCAAGAGTTTGTGGGTGTACCAACTGAGCTAGGCCTGCAGGTCACTTTGGAAAGGTGCAGTTGCAGCCTTGTGAGCCTTGGAAGGTAGATTTGTCAGCTTAGGAGGCTGGTGTGAACTGGCGGTTTAATCAATATGACTAAATGTCTGCACCATTCAGCCAGAAGGCTGAAGGAAGGGTAACCACTTTGATGGAAGGGAACGCCCTTTGGAAGGTGAACTTTGTCATAGACGAGAGAACAAGGGAACGGACTTTGATGTTTACCAGGGTTTAATCCCGTGGTTGAGTCCGTTCATTATGAGCGTAGATCCAGTAGTCTAGTCAGATGTTGTGGGCTTAAACTCAGGGTGAGTAAACTGGTTCGAGGCTGTTATAACACATTACAACTCCCTGGGGGTATGGGTGTACACCCATAGTGAATGAGCCCATAGGTAACTATAGGTTAAACCCATGCCAAACCCATGGCAAGGCCGATGTGCCTACCAGAGTTTGGACACTTGACGCGCTGGTTAAGATGGGGAGGTATTTAGAGAATGCCTCCCTCCTTGCGCGCCTCCCTGGCCCAACTCCATCCCTTTTGCTTTTCCGCTGTTGCTGCCTTCCTTTTTCTCGTTCAGCCGGTAAATAGAAGGACACCTTCAAAACAAAAAGGAAAAAAAAAAGAAAAAGAAAGAAAGACCCCTTCAAGCTTTGAGCTTTTGGGATTTGGGGCCTCAAAGTTTGGAGTTTGAGGTCAGTTTGGAGCTTGAACGCCAGAGAGAGAAGATTCTGAAAATTTAGTTTACACAGTAGGCGATAGGGGTTTAGTGGACACCAGACCTTAAAAACAGAACTTGCAGTAGGACATGAACATTTAAACCACCGGTGCTTGGCCCAGCTATGGGCCACGGAAAAAAAAAAAGTAGAAGCATTTCTAGTCGAATGAATTTGGCCGTTCCTGTAGTGGCCCGTATGTTTCCTAAAGTCGTGGCTTGTTTCAACCAAGCAACCTCCTCGAATGGAATGGAAATAGCAGGGAAGACAAGGAGAACAAAAGGAGGATGGAAGAAGAAGAAGAAGAAGAAGTCACAAAGTTCCCGAATTGCGACTGAATGGGTCGTAAGAATTTTGCGCAAAAACAGTGCGAAATACGTTAAATGATAAGCATGAAGCTCGTGGCACAGCGTCCCTATGCTGCATTTCATCCGGTTGCCAAACCGGAATCGTCAGGAGTCTTGTTCGACTTGCGAGGACTCTGGCTCCAGGGTTAGGGCATGCTCAGACTGGGATGTTTCCTTGTATGCATCTGACCCATACTTGCAACCGCACGAGCCGCACATTCGTGCGTTGCGGTGCGGAGTACAGCGTGCGGGAGGTGCTCGATCTCCGCACATTCCGCACCCGCACAGACCAGATCCATGCGGAGATCCGTGCGGGGGGTGGCTGTGCGGGTGCGGAAATGTGCGGGGACGTGTGCTACATGTACCGCACCGTGCGGGACATTTTTTTTTTTTTTTTTTTTTTAAGGGGGTCTGAGGGGTCCGAACATGCTGCTCCTTTATCAAATCTCTCCTTGACCATGTCGGAAGGGAACTTGCTGCTCATTGTTGCGACCTGCACACATAAAAAATGGGCAGGACCACCAAATCAGCCATAGTCCCCATTACATCCCCAATTCACCCACACCTGCCAGCAATCGCCGTCTTCGGAAGTCTGCCTTCAAATCAAGTGGACGATTATAAAAATAATTAATAATATAACAGAAACGAAGAAAAAAAGACAAAAGGGGGTATGTTGTCTGCCTTGAAATCAAGTGGAGGAGAGATGCACGGCAGATGCAGGAGATATGGAGGAGAGATGGAGAGATGGAAGAGAAAGGTGGTGAATGGAGGAGAAATGAAGGTGGAGGGGATATGAGAGGGAGATGGGGATCTGAAAGAGAGATGGAAGGGAGAGGGCGAGATATGGAGGTGGAGGAGAGATGGACATGGAGGTGAAAGGTGGAGGTATGGAGGAGAGATGATGTTGCACCTGGTGGAGGCATGGAGGAGAGATGAAGGTGGAGGCATGGAGGAGAAATGAAGGTGGAGAGATGGAGGAGAGATGGAGGAAAGATGGAGGAAAGATGGACAGGTGGAGGACAAAGGTGGAGGCATGGAGAAGAGGTGAAGGTGGAGGGTATATGAAGGAGAGATGCAGGAAATATGGACAGGTGGACAAACGTGGAGGCATGGAGGAGAGGTGAAGGTGGAGGGTATATGGAGGACAGATGGAGGAGAGATGGAGGAAAGATGGACAGGTGGAGGACGAAGGTGGAGGCATGGAGGAGAGATGAAGGTGGGGATATGACGGGGAGACTGGGATATGGCGAGCACTGAGTCCAGGAACAGGAAACAACGGAAAAAAAAATGAGCGGTATTTCCAGCATTTTCCATCGGAGGGGATATCGCGAGGAGATTAGCATGACCCCCTAAAGTGCACTGTACATCAAGCCCTAACGGCCCCTGCGCATCAAGCCCTACAGGCCCCTATAGATCAGCATAACCCCTGCGCAAGGATGACAAACAAAAATCGAGAAAAGGTCGAGAAACAAAACCAGGCTCCTTTGGGACATCCGTTGCAATGAGAACGACACAGAGATGATTACCATGACCCTGATGCAAGGCTGACACACAATTCGTGAAAAGGTCCAAAAAAAAAAAAAAAAAAGCTCAATAGATCGGATTATTTTCGAAATTTCAATACCTAGGTGAGAGAGGAGGATGAGGTGGACGCAGAGGTCGTGCTAATCTTCTCTGTATCGTTCCCAATCCTCCTCCATTTCGTGACTTTGGGAACGATACAGAGAAGATTAGCATGACCTCTGCGCAAGGATGACACACACAAAATTTAATAGAGAAAAGGTTGGAAAAAAAAAAGAAAAGCTCGATAGATTCATTACCTGGGTGGGAGAGGAGGACGACCTGGAGGAGGAGGGCAACGAGGAGGAGGAGGAGGAGGAGGAGGAGGAGGGCAAGGAGGGCGACGAGGGCGACGAGGAAGGGGAGTAGGAGGAGGCCGAGCGGGAGGGGGAGGAGTTGGACGAGGGCTCGATAGATTCGTTACCTGGGTGGGAGAGGAGGAGGACATGGACGACGAGGGCGATGAGGAACGGGAGCAGGAGGAGGAGGAGGAGGAGGAGGAGGGTGACGAGGGCAATGAGGAAGGGGAGGAGGAGGGGACGGAGGAGGAGGAGGATGAGGAGGAGGAGGAGGAGGATGAGGGCGACGGGGAAGGGGAGGAGAAGGAGGAGGAGAAGGAGGAGGGTGACGAGGGCGACGAGGTAGGGGAGGAGGAGGAGGACGAGCGGGAGGAGAGGAGAAGCATGCAGAGGAGGCAGTGAGGAGGATGAAGGGGAGGTCGAGGCCAGTGATACTCACCGGGCGATGGCGGCAGCTCCTCCCTCACAAGGCAGCACGGCAGCACGGCAGCACTTCAGCACGGGGCAGCACTTGAGAATGGCGGCAGCTCCTCCTTGAAATGGCAACAGCACTCCTCGCAGGAATGGCCGTGGCCGACCAGAAACCAACGCAAGAGGCCCAGCCAAGCCCACCCACACAGTACAAACAGGTTTCAAAAATTCGAAACCTCGCGGTCCGGCCTTGAGCGCGGGCCTAAATTTTTTTTTTTTGGCCTTGGCATCAATTTTGGCCGGGGCCCTCCAATGTGCCGTTTCGACCCCCGCCTTTTTTTTGGTGTGTGTGGGGGGGGTTCGGGCCGTTCCCCGCACACCTCGTGCACCGCGCGGGAACGGTCGGGCGCGTGCGCGGAACGTCGGGAAACTCGCGCACGACGTGCGCTTGCAAGTATGATCTGATTCTGACCTCATTATTACCCAGAAAGTTCTAGTGTGGGTTTGTAATTGTCAGTCTCAGAGAAAAAAAGGGAAAAAATCCAGTCTCTCTCAGTAACTGCATGGCAGGCACTTCGTTAGGGAATGAATGAACGCCATGGTTTGTCTAGCTCATTATTCCCAGTTCCCAGTGGCACTTTACTTTACTGCTGTACGCGATGGCGTGAACATGGTCAGGAAATGAAAACATTCTTATGAAGGGCGCACCAGCAGTTTGCCATGTGCTCATGGGTTAATCCCATGGATTGGTGGATGGGAGCAGGTCTTTCGTGAGACATAATTTCTTGTTCCCCTTGCAGTTCCTCTGGGTGTAGGTTGTGGCTTAAGTCTGTTTTTTTTTTTGTTTCTTTTATTTTTTTTGGGAGCGTTTCTTGATTTGTGTGTGTCATCCTTGTGCAGGGACTGAATGTTATTGTAGTAATCCATCGGGACTTGAACTCCTGAGCTGTTTGTTAATATTTACCTGTGTACCATTCAGCCACCAGGTTGTGATCAGATCATTTGTGGGAATAGGTTTTCACAGGGCTTTCCTCCAGAAAAGTGGTGATTGGAGCATTCCATGGTGGAAGGTCTGGAGTGTGCTTTGTGCTGATATGCTAATGAGATGGGTAGGTGGATGGGAGAAGGAACTCTATGCTTTTTTTTCCTCTAACGGTTACAGTTCGCCCACGCTTCTTTTGGGTTTTGTGTATGCTTGGTTGTTTATTTGTGCAGGTGCTTGGTCCACTTTGCCTGAGTGGGGGGCACTCAGGCTTATCTGAATGGCATTTTCACCTTCCCAAGCTGCCGTGTATGCCTTATGCGATCGGGTAAGAGGTCAACCGCTATCCGTTGACTGTAGACACACAACACAAATGACAGGACTAAATCCACGGGCGACATCTCTGCATATGATGGAGAATTACACTCATACATGGGTTGGAACAAGCACAGAGTACTCGTCAAGTTCAGAAGCGCAGCTGACAAACAATGCAGGGCGCAAGGCTGGTCCGGGAGACTCCCGATCTCGAAACAGAAACCGAAAAACAGAGCGTTATGGTTGCCGAGGATTTATTCACATGCAGTTCATTAGTCGTGCGATTATGCGAAGGTTTCGCCGGAAATCCTTACCAGCTCAGGCTGCAGGAGTCAGAGCCACAACCACAGTGGACTCCTGGAGACCGCAAGCGAGTGCGGGCAACAAGGAGAGTGACGTGACAGAGGGGTACTTGACAGCTTCAGAAAATGTTCCCGCATGGCCCAAATTGTCCTTTGGTGCAATGATGGATCAAGGGCCAAGATTGGAGATGGAGGATGAGATCTGTGTTGTGGATGATGTGCCACGTGGCTTCCTCTATGCTGGGGTCTTTGATGGCCACTGTGGTGGTGCTGCTGCGAAATTCCTAAGGTGAGAAACTCTCTTTTTCTCGTTGCCACTCTAGCGAGCTGTTCTATGTCTATGCAGGCTCCTGTCGCTCCCTTCTTTTTTCGTGTTTGTTCTCTTTTCACGTTTTCTTTTCTGTGATCAGTTTTTCTCCATGTACGCCATGCCAGAATCGGATGTGTTTTCACTTATCTAAGATTACATAACATCAATTATCTTGATTGCCTCTGGCTGCTAAAAGTGGAACGTTTTTCTAACCCACTACAGCCAATACGGATTGCATTCCAGGCTCTGATGAGTCTGATCCCAATTTGTGTGCCTGGTGGGGCAGGGTCGTGCGAGAAGACAGGCGTTTTTCCACTCCTAGTATTCTCGGAACCGTCGATGTCTCAGGCTTTCCCGATCCGTGACGTGGAAGGGAATCCCATCATCCATGCTATCGGAAATTTGCGAGTTTAGACATAGACTCGAGCGTGGGTCTTGCAGATAGGCGTGTAGGCGACGCCTTTTTTTTGGTCGAGCCCAATTGGTTGGATCGGATTGACTGGCTATCCTTTGGTCGGGGGATCGTCTGATCAGTTCGACATGCCAGCCCAGCACGTGGCCCTTACACTCTCGAGTGCGCGTGTCAAGAAACAGACATTAGGAAGGCAATCAGAGGGTAATTCACATATTTGAATCAGCCATCCACTTATCAGTCAAAGCATACATCAGCCAGGACCACCGAGTTTTCGTTAGATTTTCCTTTCTGCCCAAACAGGGACGGGAAACTAACATGCATACGAGTGATCCGACAGAGACAGTGTCAGCAATCGGGTGATTGGTTCGCCCGGCAACTTAGTTTCACAGACGCATTTTCCCAATACTCATGCATCAATCGAACTCAAGGGCTGTGCGAATTTCCAGAAAAGCATAAACGAGAGACCGACAAAGGTTTATGCATCAAGCCATGGAACTGAAGAAGACTGCATCATCATAACCCAAGCTCACCGAGGTCACGCGCAGACAATCGTCGTACCCGATCACACCATACTGCAGTGAAACAGGAGTGAGGAGGAAAAATCAAACCGATCGCTAAAAAAAAAACACAAACAGGGGATAGTCATAAGTAGAAGAGGGCCGACGCCACTTGTCAAAACTACACAGACGAGGAAAAGAAGGACACCATCCCACACACAAGATCCGAAGGTTGGTGCATCCAACCCGAGTGCAGAATGGGGACTAGAAAGCGACGGAATTCGAATTAAGCCAGCATCCAAAGATTGCGTGAGGAGGGGTGAGGGTAGCGCGCAAGTTCGTTCTTCACACACCATAAGCAGAAAATCTGAGACGATTCACAAGGAGATCCGACACGGCCGCAACTAGTTCGGCCAAGGTTGAAATCAAAATTTATACAGAGGGTTAGAGGAAGGCATCATCCCACACACACATCTCTCTCTCTCTCTCTCTCTCTCTCCACGCCACATCACCTCCGATGGGGGCAGTCCATCGCCTCGCACCAACACCGAGTCGTCACCCCGCTTAGTCCGAGCACGCAAGCCAAGTTTGCCCGTGGGTCACAGTCCGTCGTGGACCGCACATCAACCCTGCCTACCCGGCACCAGCTCGTCGGGTCGCCTGACTCACTTCTGCTCATCTTCCCACTTACTCGTTAGCCAATCCTCACTAACCGCGCTAACTTCCAAATTCTTAGAGAGAAAACTAATCGCGCTTGCGAAATTCATAGCGTGCATGCTTGCGCGAGGAACCCGGAATTATGCCTAAGTGAGGGGAAGGGGAAGAGAAGGAAATGCCTACGCCTGCATGGCCAAGCCGCAGCGTGGGGGACGCAGCCACACTCCACGCATCGATCTGGTCATGCAGTCGTTCAGGCCAATTAGAGTGGAGGACGAGGTATGCATGACAGAGGGGGAGAAGGCGGGGAAACACGAGAGAATCAAGAAGACAATCGCGCCCGCCAAAAATTACAGTTACACGCAGGATTAAGGGCGCCGTACAGTCAGAGCCCAGTCCCCACTGCGGTGGGAGGTGCACAAGCAAGAAGCGCAGCGCAACAAGATTTCAGAGTACCTAAATTCCTAGTCTAAATCCTATTTGCAAAAGAAATTCCGAAAAGACAAAAAAAGAATTCCGAGAGCCCGCCATCCGTTGTAAATTTGAAAAACGACATTCTTGCGCGCTAATCGCGCCAAAATTCCCATCTCCCATAGCAGAACAAGAAAGAAGCTATGGCAACCGTTATTTATCGCGCTCGCTAAGGCGCGGTCACTCCATCGTCTGCGCAGGACTTTCCCAGCCCCGGTCTCGAAAGCCAAAAAGAAGGAAATCCATGCAACTTGTCAAGTTGTCCAGCCGACCCATATCTATGCATTCCCCCCGACCAACCAGTCCCCAACCCCCGAGGCCGCTTCGTGCAGAAAGTCGTGCGATTGCAGAAAATAGTTCGTCACAGTCTACCGCCATATGAACTAACCCCCAGCTAGGACTGGAAGGGGCGAAGGTCTCCGGGAGAACCCAGCACCCTACCAAGACCAACTAGGGAGGGCAAGCCAACTATGTCGGTTGGCGAACACCAGGCACGCCGCAGGTGCCTGTGGGGAACTGGACCCATGACCTCCTGAGTGCGGCTTGAGTGCGAAAGCAACTGACATAGGCCGCTGGCCCTATGTCACTTCGGTTCCAATTCCACTGGCAAGTCAGAAAAAGATCGGACACACTCTCAATACTTCCCCATGTTGCGGCCCGGGGATCCCTGACAGCATTGATACTTCCCGTGGACGGATTGATTGTCAGTTGAGGCCATGCTTGCTTGGCAAAATCCCTGCATGTCTACTTCGTACCCCTTTAAAAACATGCCTGAACCAGCTAGAATAATACCTCTCAGTCCATGCCTGTAAACTGCCTGACATCGTTGACAGCTTAGGCTAGTTTTTTATGGCCTAATTTCCCCTGACATTCTCTCAGTTTTTCCATTGTCAAACCTCTCTCTCTCTAGCCCTCTCTCTCTCTCTCTCTTTGCATCTTGAGCATGACCTAGGCTATAGGTCACAGTCCCTGTCAAACACACTACCTCTGGGCTGTGCTCGCAGCTAAGGTAAAAGCCTGTTCTCTAAGTGAAGGGGTGATGCCATGCTCCAAGCGAAGGTGTGAAGCAGTGCGTGGAGGTAATATATGATGGTGTTTGATGGGCCAAAAGAACTGCCCATGTTCCTCACTATGCTGCTTGTCATCGAGGAGCAACTGCACTGCTGATTGTGCTATTACTATTGTCACCCATGGACACAGGTTCAAACTTCAAATGGCTAACTTTCTTTTAGTATCCAGGTAGAGACTGATTGATGAGCTGACATTATGCGTACTGAATCTACTGATTGATAAACTGGCAGCTCAACTGTTGCGGGAATGTCCTCCCCTTCTTCTGGTAAAAAAGAGAAAAAAAGCGCGTTCACATACTCCCGGAGAGCATAGTCCTTTCTTCTTCTGGTTGATGGCCGCTGTACAGTCACAGAGGTCTCGGTTGTTCAAGAAGATGGCACACATGTGGTGACTTTGCAGCTGCCCCTCATGCCTTGAATTGGGTTTTGTTCGATAAAACATTCTGGAGCTTGACAAGATGTATCAGCAGCAATGTGGGGGACATTTGATATGTTATTTCATGGTTTTATCCAACAACATACATCTCACACAGACACAAAAACAAAAAGAATGTATACATATATATCGTCAAACAGAACTGCCCGGTAAACTGTAGGCAGAGAGGGAGAAGAGCACAACAAACGAGGGGCTGTGACAGACTGTTTGGTTGGAGTTTCACCAACTGATCAGAAGGCTGAACCCATATATATATACTGATGAGTCGGTGAAACTCCGACGAAACAGTTTGTCACAGGCCCTCGTTTGTTGTCCTCTTCTCTCTCTCTGCCTACGGTTTACCGGGCAGTTCTATTTGTGACGATATATAT